ACACAGCATTGTCATACTTAGAATTACACCCAAGTATACACTCTGCTACTCCACATGAATGTTTGTATTCTACATGTAAGACTTTTTTGCAGCCTAGTTACAAAGAGGGGCCCAAAATCCAATTTATTCCCCTTGAGACTTTCAAGGGGCATAACTTGCACATCTTAATTTTCTGACCACCTTTCACATTTGAAACTGCCACGAATGACCAAGTTTTGGACTGCAGGCACCCTAAGCTATATTTTAGGAAACATAGTGAATCTTTTAAAGATTTTAGTTTTTGCCACAAGTGTTTGGAAAATGCAAAAATAAAATTAAAATAAATGTTTTTAAACAAATTAATAAGAGTTTGGATCACCACATGTGTGCAACATTTGTGCCACATAGTCACACAGAGGGGCCCAAAATCCAAGGAACACCTTTAGGATATCAAGAGGCACAAATTACATATCTAATTTCCTGACTACTTATCACATTTTTTTTTTTTTTGCTACAATGTACTACATGGCTTTTTTTAATGTAAAAAAGTTCAATGGATGCATTGAACTTACATTTAGTGGCTCTTGAATCAAGCCTAATATCAAGACTGATAGCAAATTACAGCAAGACTTCAAAACATATACTCAGGAAAATGTGTTTCTGATTTTGTTAAGTTCTTGTGATATATACTAAACATACAGGATGGTAGTAATAATGTTTTACATTTACATTTTATTTTGTACAACCTTATTAGTAGATGTTCTTTATGTTGCATGTCATCTCATTCATATGAAATCACTAATCATGTCACATAATAATTATTCATTTTATAATTTGTCACAGTGCACGGGTTATGTTATATGACAAGTGCTATCCAATTAATTAGTGTTGTAGAGTTACAGTCATAAGAAATGAGTTTCTTTTATTGCTCAGTATATACAGCATACCCTTGGGAAACACTAAAAAAACACTTATGTATAATAGTTCTTCTAATGAGTGATCACCAAATAGTTCTTGCTGATATATAACAAGGGCAACATCTTTTACTAAAGATTGCAAACATATTCCATTATTTTAAAACCTGGCAAGTAAATATAATTCTGCCAGTGAATTATTATGCAATTTCAAATCCTTAAAGCTAAATCTTAGCTAGTGGAAGACTTGGGCACAGGAGTAATTTCTATTATGCATATATCTGTACATTATGGTAAACTTACCTCTGAGTTTCCCTAGTCTATAGATGATAGTTTTATGAGCTCAATCACCACAACTGTCATCCAATTCTTCCTCACTGAGAATCTTCCTTCTTTGGCTATTGGGCTAGCCAGTGATGGTGTAGCTTTCATGCATTTGCAAAGGAGTTGCATTATCATTGCATTCAGATCAACTTATCGGCATTTTACAAATGCCAAGAGTGACACTGCACTGAGCCGGCAGTGTACTTTAAAGCAACTTGCTAAAACACAGGTAAAGTCATTTCTGGTAGAGGAGATATACAAAATCTCTTCCATATAGCAATTTGTTTCTTTCAGATTCAGATCAGTGGTTGGAAGTATGAAATGTACATCATTGTGCAGGGCTCAGAAGTGCACAGTGCACAAAGTACAGGGGTCAGAGGTGCATATCGCACAGAGTACAGGGGTCAGAAGTGGGTGTCACAGAGATTGCAGGGATCAGGAGTGCATAACACAGAGCATAGAGAGGTCAGAAGTGTATAATGCAAAAAGTGCATGGGTCAGGAGTATGTATTACACAAAGTATTACACAAAGTACAGGGATTAGGGGTTAGGAGCACATATAACACAAAGTGTAGGGGTCAGAAATGGTTATCACAGAGAATGCAGTAATCAGGAATTCTAATTGCAGAGAGCACAGGAATCAAGAGCGGGCATCACACAAAGAGCAGGGAGTAGAGCAAAGAGTGCAAAGGTAAGGAGTGCATATAACATAGAGTACTGGGGTCAGGAATAGGTATAACACAGTACAGGGGTCATGAGTGGTTATCACAGGGAATGTAGGGGTCAGGAGTGCCTAACACAGAGAGTGTAGGGGTCAAGAGTACATAACACAGACAGTGCAGGAGTTAAGAATAAGTAATGTGCAGAATGTCCAGGGTTGGAATATGTAACGCATGAGTCACAGAGTAGAGAGCATGTGAGTGTACAATACACAGAGTGCAGGAGTAGGAGAATGTACAGTAATTCACAGGCCAGTGTATAAAGTCCAACCAAAAATGAATCCCTCCTGCCAGTACTAATTATCCCAAGCCTATATCCCAAATCACCCCAGTACAGAGGCCCCCCAGCATGGAGCCCCCAGTAAAGACCCTCCCTTTCAGCCCACCCAGCCAGCACAGATCCCCCTACCAAGACCACCCCCCCCCCATTAGTAATAGCTGATCACATGAGCAGCAACATGGCAACTGCAGAGGCTAAAATGGCACTGTCTTTAGTTGTAAAAGATAGAACGGGTTGAATTCCACTTTTAGAAAACTGTGCATAGTGAGGTATGATGCCAAACAGACTTAAAAATAGATTTTGGGTTCACACACACTTTAACTGTGTGGTTGAATTGATTACAGCTTCAGTAATATTTGTTTACTTAGAAACTATATGCCCCATCAGTGTTTTATTGGACAAAATAAATATAGCACCCTCCTAGTCAGCTAGGGGGAACTGGACTCCAATTGTTAGTGAGGAGTAGCAGCCTGGCTGTGATAGCTAGCAGGGGTCAAACCTTGGTCAGAGCTAAGAGGCTCTGCAGACCAACCGTCTGGAATTTCCCCCTGCTTTAGAACTTTGGAGAAAGGTCTAGAAGAAGTGAGTGGATCTGAGGAGTGTCTGATCTGCATTTTTGAGGGACCCTGGCCAATCCCCAACAGGAGGCCTGGCAAGTGGCCAGGACACCCTTTAAAGTGAGAGAGCTTGTACAGCAGCAGGAGAGTTCAGGTGGAAGACAGAGAGGATGTGAGGCTGAAGGCAGGAGCCTGGGAGGGGGCTCAGATGTAGAGCAGCTCACCTACAGGAAGTGGAGCTTGGAAGGAAGAAATCTCAGACCCTCACTGGCACCCAGAGCAAGGACCACCTGTGTAGCAGGGAAGGAGCGCCCCAGCTAGAAGGCCTGGTAGCAACCACCAACCCACCAGCCGCAAAGGAGAAGGACTGAATGAGTAAGCCTGTACCCCCTGGGCCAGATAGGGGAAGGAGCACTCTGGTGGGAAACCAGATTAGCCACCTCCTGGGACTGTTATTTCTTAAAGTGGCAGACACCGGATTCTCTGCTGAGGGATTCCTCCAGACAGCTGGCTAAAGAAGAGGATTTATCTGGGGCAGTACTACAGGAGATGCTGGCTAGCACTCCAAAAGAGACTGTTTTGCTGTGGACACTTGTAATTAGTTCCAGGAAGTTGTCCTTGGTGCATCGGTTCCATTGGGCATCACATACACCCCTTACCCCATCCAAGTTGTAATTCCCCTAATAAAATCCAAAAAACCCAAGCTCAAGGACTGGCTACTGACTCCTGGATGCAAGTCTGTTAGAAATGTGTGTTGCCTGGCTGTGCAGGACTATAGGGGGACCCAACACTTCTGCAACTCCTAAGAGGGTAGTGCTATATAAAGATCTACAACAATAATAAATTGTTCGGGATGTACTGCATATAGTCATAATGAATGACATATATAATATAGTGTTTGAAATTGGGGCTGAGCAAATTTGAGAGTCTTGATTTCCCTATAATGTTGGAGGTTTCAATGAAAATTTGCTATTTTGGCAAAATCAATAAGGAATGCAAAATTAAGTTGGGCTTTTGTGTTTTCTTTTCTTTTTTTTTTTGCAATGGGCTTTAAATAGCTCCAGAGTGTTACAGAGGTTTTTTTTAACTATAATGGACCTGACTCCTGTGGCAAAAAAGGAGACTCATTAGCCCATTTATAACTTATTTTATAGTAAGAAAAATACTGTGGGAAAAGGTAAAATAAAAAGATATAATACCACGAATTACACAAAAAAGGGAAAAAACAAATACAAACAGTACTAAATAAACTAGCCTAAACTAACCCAAATATACCCCTCCTCCAAGAAAAACATACTCCCTCTAAATAAAAGAAGTTTACACTTTTTTCACACAAATTTCACACAATATTTTTCCAAGCTATTTCAATGAGTGAAATTGAAAGTTCCTGTTTCAGAGAAAATTTGCAGATATGGAAAACAGTCATTGTACAGCAAAAGCAATGCAGTTGAAATCACTCTGTGCATCATATTCATGATTTTTTGACAACAATAAACTTGGCTTCTGCAGAGTATCACATTTATTTACATTTGCATTCACGGGTTTCTAGATCTTGGAAGACAAAAAGCTGACAGTAGATAAAAGCCAGCAAAGCATCTTTCTACACATGGATGTGTATATTCCTGTGTGTGAAATGCTTACTGCATTGTGATAAACTATCTGCCTCATAAAACCTTTGGCAGCAATGTCAGGAAAGGATTCATACTCTTTTTTCCTTCTATGTGTTTCTGTTATTTGAATCTAACAGACAACTGGGATTAACTGGAGTAAAATGTGTGGTAATTCCATTAAGCCTATTAATGAATGATAAAGTAGAATACCTGCTTGACAGGTCGATCGGGATCCAGGTTAAAGTGCAGAAATATGTTAAATCAATTGGGGTTAAATATACAGTATCCCTTCAGAGATGGCTGTAGAACCTGAAAAACACTTGTATGAAAATGAGCGGTACTATTTTTCCTCTTCTTTGTATTTAATGCATTTATTGTACTTTATGTACTGATTTCTTTTTGTTGATAGGTGGACACATAATGCTGAGAATGGTCTACACACTGAAGGAAAGGAAAAGGGGCTGTTATCCATAAAGGTCGATCAGGCTTTTATTTTTCTTGTGTATAGCTGATAATGAAAGCAATCAATTTAAGAAACTATGGTTAACCTTGCTCTCTGTCTTATGAATAATTTTAAACCCTGCATCCCCAAAACTATCGGTTAGCTTTGGGTTTAGGTTTAGCATTGGATCATGACAAACCCAAGATGTTTGCAATTCAGGAATGCAGCAAATGAATGCAACCATTTGCCACTAAAACAACCAATCAGTGGCGGACTGACAACTCATGGGGCCCCCGGGCAATAGGGGATCATGGGGCCCCTGTGTCTTTGGCCAAACTCAAAAAAGTCTATGAAAAAGGTACCAGGGGCATCCCACGGGCCCCCCTACTGACCCCAGGCCCTCGGGCAGTGCCCGAGTTTCCAAATGGTCAGTCCGGCCCTGCAACCAATGATCAATAATGCACTTCCTGGCCTTTGTACTGTGATCAGGTGGATTGGAGGGACCAATAATGGGGGGTTTCTTCTGTGCCAGGCTCCATGCTGTAAGGTCCCGGTCACATCAAAGCCGATTTTGAAATTGTGCGACTTACAGTGACGTTGCATGATTTCAAAATAAAATTCTGTTGTGATTTGAAAGACATCTGGCACAGATGTCTATACAAATCGCAACAAAAGTAGTGCATGCACTACTTTAGAAATCGGTGCGGCTCTGACCAAGTTGGAGTCGCACCGATATGACCGATGTAATAGTGGACCAAAGGGGTGCGACTTGGCATATGATTTGCAAGTTGCAGGGCATGGAAATCGCATGCCAAGTCGCACCCGATGTGACCGGGGGCTTAAACCTTTTGTCAGTGTATGATGGAAACTTGGTGTAGATAGGGAGAGTTTTTTTTTTTGAGGGACAAATGGTTGCTGCTGTACAGTGCTACATATAGGGTTATAAACAGTGCTCTTCATTACAGTAAATTGCAATGTGCTGGTCTATATTTTAGGGTTTAGGGCTTGGGTTTATTTTTTAGGTGTAGCAGAGCTACCAGATTGGTCCCACTATATTTGGCACCAAGTTCTGATCCCTCCAGTGTATAAGTAGCCAGTCACAATGTATTTCCATCTAGGGATATCAAATCTCACTCAATCTTCAGACAGTAATTAGCCAGAGGTTGTTCATTTTGTTTATTTTTTTTGGTACAACTAAGATAGGGATTGGAAAAAGCTTTTGGATGGCTGGAACTAGGGAACTTGCTGAGGATACTATTTTGCAATAAAAGAACAACACAAAGCAAAGTTTTCCTCCCCAAAAGGGTAGCAACAACTTTCAGCATGGGGGGCTTCCTCTACAGTGCAGCCCTAGCAACTAGGTCTGGAACGGCCCTTCTACCCAGAAGGGGTGCGACAGCAACAGTCACTCTCTCAGGATTGCCTTCAGCCTACTCACTGTGATCCGAGTCACAAGGTATCCACTCCAGCCATTCCTATGACTTCAAAAGGATGAATCTTCTGCATCTTGGTGAGCTAGAGACAGCTGGGGTTTCTTTAGGCCTCTCTTAAGCCTAGGAAAGTTTGACAGCATTTCCAAGCTGGGCCAATCTCCTGTCAGTGAAAGACCCTGCTACTCTCTGCTCTCACCCTTATATACCATTCTCGCCCTCTAGTGGTCACTTGTCTTGACCAGGGATTGCTGAGTGTGTATACAAGAGCCAGCTCAGACTCTACCCTCTCCTTTACTATGTTTCCAGAAGATTCTGGAAAGACAGGGGGAGACAGGTAAGCCTGCAGCTGCAGAACTCAGAGTAGGCAAAACACAATTATGTCTCTACTTCTAACAGCAGAGCCAAAAAGCTAAATTTGCCTCACCTCTAGCACCTAATCTAGGAGGGTGCTACAGTTTTAATTTTTGTATACATTTGTGGCAGTTTAGCGCCCCCAATCACTACGTTTTTAAGTGCACCAAACCACCATACTCTCAATCATCCTATTGCTATAGCTTATGATACAGTTAGGCAATACCTTGTATTCACAATGTCTGGGAGGCCAAAAGGAAGGCGCAGAGGTTCTGCATGTGCTGGCAGTCAGGAGGAGGAAATGGGGAAGATTTTCACTCACCCCAAACCCTGGGAACTGTATGTGGTTGGCATGAGATCATTGATGAGTCTGGGTCCTCTGCTGCAGGCAATTTGTGGTGAATAGGCTTATTCATGCTGAATTGCTTGTGCGAGAACCCCAGGATTTGTGCCATGAAAAGAGACTATTACTCAGTGGCCACCTCTTTGGATTTGAGATACAAAATAAAAATGGAAGATACTATGCTACCATCCCAAGTAGAGTACAAAATGTGCCATATAAAAAGGGAGCCACAGAAGACCACCTTTCCAGATAGGGACAGGGTCCCCTCCCATGTCCAACATTCTTCTCATCCTCAGATGGCTGAAAGGAGGATAGATGGTGGCAGTTGCCTCAAGGATACTTCTATGTCATTCTGTCAGCCACAGTGGACTGGTGCAGCTGCTAGAAGCAGTCACATGCAGCACCTAAACTATATGAGTGCAGATGTCTTGGGGTCCAGGGCTGACACAAACAATGTTTGAAATTAGTTACCAGCTCCTTCTACTACTCCTGGATTTCCACAATTACCAGCTCAGGCCACCTTCACTGGTCTGCCACCATTACCAGCTCCTGTGGCCTCTTTTGGCCTATTCTGGTGCTCCAGTACTATAAAGGTGCCACACATATTGTTTCTGCAGCTGGACCACAGTTGCAAAATATTACACATTTGCTGCAGGGTGAATTATGTTCTATGTCTCCTAGGTTACAGCCTAGTCCAATGTTCCGGCACTGAAAAATATTTTCAGCTATCGTTTCTCTGAAATGATTTAATCTAATGTATATTTCAAGATAAAAACTGCCTCATATTTCACTCTTACCCTGTGGCCCAAACAAGCTGTTTACATACTCTCCAATGAATGTACAATATTTGTGGTTATTGTCTGTGAATTAATAAACTCAAATTTTTCCAAATCTTTCCATGAAGAACCAAATCTGACTCTAAAGGAGAAATATAGGCCCAGCACGTGTAGCAGGGACCAGAATGCTCATAAGGATATGCACAATGAAAACCATGTGTAACCATCTGGATTTGTACCATAAAGAGAAAAGGAAGGAGGGGGGGAAGAAAAAATGCACCCCTGACAGCAACCCTGTCGACCCATCCCCATCCAGATCCCTCAGAATTCCCACGCTAAATAGGCGAATGCCGATATTTAATCCAGGGATTCCACACCCTATCAAATTTAGCTTGTTTGTCTTTCAAAATGCTCACCCAATTTACATGGAGCATGTTCCATGATATTTTATTTTTGATGAGTATCACAATTCTTCTAATTAATTCACAATACTAAAGACTTGCTCTACTCTATTGAAAATGAGACACCTTGACCAGACCACAAAGCAAATCAGGTTATCTGGCAAAATGAGTTACTGATCAACAACAAACATTCACTTATCAAGGACTGGCCCAAATCTTTGTATATCTAGATTTAATAAAGTGTGCTTATTCTTAATATATTATGTTAAAACATGTATTAGTTATTACCAATCATTTCTTTGGGTGCATTATCACATCTGCCTGAGGAAGCAGTCACTAAAATTCTTCAAAAGATGAACAGCTGGGATATGAGTCATGTGAAGCACAAGAACGGTTGTTTACAGATAATTAGAGATGTATTTTAAGTCTGCATTACTGTAGCTTAAAATGTGCTATAAATAAATTATCTAAGATATACACTCTTATATAGGATGACCAGCATGTGACTGGTATTAAAAGACTAAACACGAGCAAAGAGAACATTTCTAGGTGGGAAGCCAAAGTTTGGCCGAAACAGGCCTGCTGAGAAATAAAACAGTAAAATTCACAGGAAGCATAGTTTACTTTTTTGAGAACGTTTTACTAAAAGAAAAGTTTAAAGAGACCAGATAGTCAAAGCCTGGAGATGATTGATGGGATGGTGATTTATAATAACACGAAATAGTATTGGTTCTGCACCTAGAACACCTAGAAAAATATGCATAGGTGATCTGAATCTGGAGTCCATTGTATAGTTTGACATGCAGGTCATGCGTGGAGTTTTGTTTTTCTTTTAGTTAAAAAGAATATAATCTATGCAATGGAGTGTAATAGTGAGCATGGTATATACCATGTTTTTCCTTAAAAGCCAAAATCTTTTTTGTTTTGTATAAAGTGGAGAATAGGTTAAATTCCTATGAGGTTTTCTTTCTGCCATCTGTGCCCTATTGTGATCATTTACATCCGTTTTTCTTCCCATAGATGCATCAGGAAATTAAAGGAAAGGAGGGGCATTCTCTCTCAGAGAGTTGTCATCCCAGCAGATGTTACCATTTTGCCACTTCCCATGAAAACTCAAAATTTTAGATTCATCCCTCATTCTAAGGCTACATGTACACTAGCCTACCGCAGCCACGGGAAAACACAAAACGTGGCAAAAACACATATAAACATGTTAATAACCCTCCCTTGCTTTATCTAAAATGAAAAGAAAAAGTTTTGCCTCTACTTCTACTTTAATTCTGGTGGCAATGGTCACTGGGACAAACCCCCCATGGGCAATAAAATAAAGAAGGTTAATACATTTTTGCAACTTTATCCAGAAGCAAAAAATGTCCTTAGCTACACGTAAAATTAAAAAAAGCCACCAAAAGGTAAACAAAACAGTTTAACCTAAATGTAACTTTCTTTTTTTTTAAATAAAACTATATTAACCTCCCTGGCTGAATGATTATTTCAGATTTTTGGTGCTGACAGCGGTACCACTATTTTGCATGGAAATACGTAGTTTTTTTATTGTAGGTCTGTAATTTTTAGGAATAACTCTGTCCGAACAAGAGTCTAGTAAACATCCCGGGTAGGATATAACTTGAAACACGAAATCATAAATTATAATTTAATAAATAATCATAAAAAATAATAATATAATAATAATAAATTTAATTCAATAATATAATCAAACCAAAAAATACTGAAATTTGAAATAAAGCGCCAAGTTCGCACATTGCTGAGCAAAAACACAAAATCGTTTTCAGTGTCTGATGACGAATTTCCCCACAAATCATTATCACTCAATTCTGCAAGTGGTTCTGATTTACTATCGCTGATCTCTAGCCGGTCTAAAACCGCTTTTGATCTAAAAGGACGCTTTTTGGACGTCATGGACTTTTCTAAGTTTACAGGCAGAAAGAACAGTAAAAATGCAGGCAGGGAACAGGACAAAGCACTCGGGACAAAATGTATATGAAATGCTTTGAAACAGCAATGTTTTGCTATGTAGTATTCGTTTACAAAAAAATTACAGTTTTTAAAATTTTAAAATTTGCCGCCGGTTCCAGCCCCCGTATGTCCCGACATCACAGGGACCGGAACACAGAAGCCGGAT